TGAACGCAGCCGTCCGCGCCTGGTCCTGGGACTGCACGAGATCGAGGTCGCCCTAGCGGCACTGCCGCGCTCGAGGTGCCGCCACTGTCACCATCGGTCCGTCGCCACCGGCCGCACAACACGCGATTGAAACAAACAAAAGCGAGCAACACGCGCGGCAACTAGCTAGATGCGATTCATCAGATCCATAAACATCGGCCTGGGTTGGGCTTGGATCGGGCATAGATAGGTTGAGGGCTTGAGGCCCAGACAATACCCATAACAAATTAATAAAAATAATTATCTAACTGCTTTAAGATTCGTGCACACTTTTTTGGGAGGACCATTGGAGCAAAACTCTAAATTGTTATACCTCTCGAGCAAATTCGTTGCTTCTTTTTTGTTCTATAAACAATGATGAAACGCATCGTACGGCGTAATCAACACATTATGCTCCACCATCAAAATAACCAACTTTTGACTGGCCAAACAAATCACTCCTATATGTTTCAGGATCATCTTAATCATTGCACAAATCTGCCGAGAAATCGCTGTCCACAACGATCTTCAAGAGCTACGGGCCATGAACGGGCAGGACCTCCTGCAAGCTCCTCTCTGCTTGATGATTGTATATTTTTGCTACCATCCAACAAAAGCGCTAAGATTCCTCGGCCAATTGCCTTTGTCTCCTGCATATCAAAATGCTCATATATGTTTATGGAAAGAGCAGTTGTATTTTTTAAATCAGCAAGTACATCTATGATCTGCGGTCACGAGAGGTCATTTGCTGCAAGTTTGTTTGGTGGACTGAGATATGCAAGTTTATTCATGACAAGAAGAGTCCAGTAGTAGCACAGATGTTCGGCTGGCCTCAGAAAGGAATGCCGTCGTACGTAGCATTGGCATATATATTTAAAAGGAATGAAACAGATACTTGGAGCCAATTTTAGCTTTTCTAACCTGGCGCACTCCTTTTGTAATCACATAAAATTCAAATTTGTTTGAAATCGATTGTTGATTAACTACAAGAGATGGATAGATCAACTCTAGTATTGTTCACTTTTTAAAACTGGACACTATCATACAATTTTAAAACTGGACACTGTCATACAAATTTTAAAACTGAACTTAAAAATTGTGGGTTAGGAACTAGTTCCAAAATTAAGTCAAAGGGCGAATTTGTATTTTCATCTAAAAGTAACAAATCTTACTTAACATATTTAGCATCGTAGTAAAATTTAATTTTTTTTCTCGATCACGCAAAGATTTGCGCGTTTTTATATTAAGAAAGGGAATTTTGTTTACAGCACGCCCTTGAGGCGCTCTAGGGGGGCAAGAAAGTTTTACAGATAAGCATTAGCCCTCCCTAGAATACACTAGCTAGCTAGGCTACTACTCATTGCAGAAGACAACCTAAGTTTTTTGCGCCGGCTTGCGCCTTAGTATGACTGAAATCAGCAAGTGCATTTGCTACAAATATTTTTCTCAATAGCTGCAAATTAGCTTGGTGATTGATGCCCTTTCTCGTCACAAGTAAAGCCTAGCATCTATGTTCCTCTTTGGCCTCACTAAGGAATGTCATACGTAAATAATATTGGGATCATCTTTAAGAAAACCGAGCGTTGGAGTCAACTTTACTGTGTCTAACTTTAGAGTCTTTTTGTGTAGTCTTAAGAACTTTAACTTGGCTTAAAATAAGCTACCGATTAATTAATGAGAGGTCAACACTGCAACAGTAGTAAATTTTGAAGCATTGGAATCAACTTTAATTTATATAAGTTGACCCTTTTCAAGAAAGAATTCTGTCCAAACTGGAATATTTTATTAATTTAGTCTTATGAAATTAAGTGGGATACTCTTCTTAATGTAGTCTTATGAAATTAATTTTTTTGTGTGTCTTATGAAATTAACTGGAATACTCTTTTAATGTAGTCGTATGAATTAGACTTGTTATAGAACTTCAAGAGGTGGTTAATGAATCGATGAGAGAGCTTGGTAGACCAGACGCCAGAGGCATCAATATGCCAAAAAAAACCTTTTTAAAAAAAAAATGAGACTACTTTTATACAGCATCAGCAGAAAGAAGTGACCCAATGCTTATGGAGTCCGAAAACCTTTACTTAATGACATCTTAAATAAACAAATGAAAAAGGACTATTCGTTGTGTCTGTTCTTGCTCATTGTGTCGGTGTATGCAAAGAATTCCATCCGTATTACACTTAGACTATATCCATCTTACCACTTTCTAATACGATTATACAACACCAATGCCTAAACAAGGGCACTTCCATTTCATACACGTACACCAAATGGCCTTTTCAAACTGAGAAGTTTCCTAAAATGTGTCAATCTTTTGTATAGTCTTATGAGGTTTAAGTATATGTAGACCCTATATCTATAGTAAGAAAAGGCCATTTCCTGCAAACCTTTTTAGAATAATCTTCATCTGCTACAAAGTAATGGGAGTTTTTTGTCTTCTGCAAATTGGTTTGCTAATAGATGCTTTGACTCTGAAAAAAGGTGTATAAGTTAATAGTTTGCTTCAGTAAACAATGCCAGTACGTGATAATGGAAATTTTTCCTTTTGAAACATAGCATTGGGTAAAAACTATTGTTTGTTTAAATAGGAGCAATCCTTTTGTATAGTATATAATGTAAGAAACATCTCCAAGAGCTCCTTGAGAAGACACTTACCAAATCATGGATTATATCGAGTGTCTGGACTGTGTAGGAAGCTGTTTTTTTTGGCTTTCTGGTTTTCTCTAATAGTTTATAATGTTTGGTTGCTAATAAAAAAAATCAAAGCCACCACCTCCAATCCATCCGCTGCCGCAACCCAGCCAACACATATCTGGGAGTTGGATGTGAGATTTACCAGGTGCTTATCTCTAGAAAGTTCAGATACAAAACTGTCAAAATGCTCGGTTTTTTTTCCTTTTTGCCAAAAAATGATTTAGACAGTTGTTTTACAAAACTGTTGGTCATGCTCTTAAAATGAGATTGTCATATAGGTACCCTGAATATGTATGTAGCACTGGAATCAACTTTAGTCCGTCTAAATTGGCTCTTTCAAGGAAAAAAGTTGTCCAAATTTGGAGCATTACGAAATTTAAATTAGTTGAGAATCATCTAAAAGGTGTCGATAAACATATGAGAGATCAGTAGAGCAACTGCGGCATATGTAAATTTTAAATGGGCTACTTTAATGCCGCTCCCCTAAATATATCTATGGTAGCCAAAGAAAAGTGCTTCATTGCTTACGGACTCCGAAAAGAGTGACACTTTGAGCTGAAAAATCCAAAGAGTATCCGTTCTTTTCTTACTGAGATTTCAGATAATGAAACTAAAGAGCACCAGTCGTTGTGTATTCTCATGTTTTTGCAGATGCCTGTGCCGATTCTTTACCAAACAATATGCTTCGTTCAGAAGTCAGAATATTTTTTATGACGTTTCATCAGACATTAAACCCACAGATAACCAACACTGAACAATTGCCACGGTTGAAAGCCCATCAAACTTGCTTTGCAAATCATTTCATAGTCTCCCTTCAGCGCATGGACTGAAAGAACAGTTGATCATTATCTACAAACAATTGTACTAACAAGTGCTGTTTTCAGTTGGTTAAATGTTCCTTGCACATGCACATTTCAGTTGGCTGATTGACAATGGACCTCTGAGTTCTCAGAGAATGCTTGACGACGAAGGCCTTAAGTTCTCTCAAAAAAAACGACGAAGGCCTTGTCCGAGCTGAGCGGGGAGTTGGACGCATGCAGTAACCAATAGGTAATGGCCTCTTGGCAGAAGGTGTCTACCGGCAAGCTATTCACTGCCATAGATTGGACGATTGGTGCAGATAGTGCTCACAAAGAAACCAAATGGGCCAAATTGAAAAACGAAGCCCAACTAGAAAATGTGAAGGCTCCTCACATGAAAGAGAAGGCAATGCAGTAATTTAGGGCATGTTTGGATAAGATAGGACTAGTTAATAGTTAAGGCTAAAAATTAGCTCAAATTAGCTATGTTGGCTGGCTAGTTGGATAACAACTAGTTGGAGACTTGGCTTACAAATTCGTCCACCTATTAGTCTTCCTGTTTGATACACTAGAGCTAATTTTAGCAAATTTTGTAAATTTTTAGCTAAGTAGCCATTAGCCCTTGTATTTAAACAGGCCGGATGGTATGTTTTTTTATATTGTCCTGTAGCTTCTCTGGCATCTGTGAAACTGAGAAGTCTAAAATACTTGTGTACCGAGGCATTGACTTTCAGCCTTCATCATCATCCTCTCAACATAGGATAACATGGGAAGCAGAAGAGGCTAGAAAACAACAAAACAGTATAAGCACATAAAAATGTATGCAAAGGCATCTTGCCATGTGAGCCAGCTAGCTGACAAATGTATGAACAGCTGAACTTGCCAATTCTTTCTTCTTTGATTTGTTTGTAGGGGTATCTTAGCAATCGAACCCGGCTGACATTTGTACTCCAACCGAGAAGTAATTCCATGAGCATTAGCTGCTGCAAACGAAAAAAAAGGCACGATATTGTAAAAGATGGAATCAATGTTTCCAAACCCTGTGTGTCCGAGAAATGGCAAGTTCAGCTGACATTTCTACCCAAACTGAGAAGTGGTTCAATGAGCAATAGCTGCTCCGAATAATATAAGGCGCGGTTTTCACTTCAGTTGTACTAGTAAAAGATAGAATAAATGTTTCAACAAATTCTGTGTCCAACAAGTATAATTTCATCTGTACGACACTATGACTGTATCATCCTCCCCAAATTACCTGGTGCAATACATCAGCACCACTAACAATGGCAAATCCCCCTTCATCGTTGGATCCAATTTCAAAGAATACAAACACGACTCTGAAACTAAAATGTACTAGAATTGAAGTAAGTAGTGTAGAGCCAGCAATCTTCATCAGTGACGACGAAGCTGCAGTTATTCCGATCTCCGGGTATACAATATTGAACGAAGCTAAATTTGATCCAACAACGCCACCGCCGGCGACGAGGCGAGTCAGCGGTTGAGGAAGTCGCTGATGACCTTGTCCTGCGCGACGGCCTCTTCGCAGCTTGGCTCCAGGAGGTGGAACGTGTGTCCCTTGCCGGGCGCCTGCCAAATCTCCGCCTCGCCGGGCCACCCGCTGGCCCTGAGCCGGTCGTAGTAGGCGCGGCCGCGGTCGCGGAGCACGTCGCCCTCGCCGACGCACACGAGCACGCGGCCGCACGCCAGGGACGCCAGCGGCGGGGCGCCGTCCACGAACGGGTTGATGAGCGGGTCGTCCTCCCCCGTGGTGGTCGGGCACATGACGCGCCAGAGGGAGCCCAGGCTCTGGCGCACCTCCGGGCTGAGGTCGTCGGAGGGCACCTTGTCGGTGCCCAGGAAGTAGGGGTGGATCATGACGAGGCCCCGGATCCGGGAGCCGTGCGCCAGCCCCTCCGCGGCCACGCGCATCGCCATGTGGTGCGCGATGTTGGAGCCCGCGCTCTCGCCGCCCAGGTAGAGGCGGGAGAAGTCGGCGTGGCCCGCGATCCACGGGTCCCGGTTGGAGTCGTCGGCGGCAGGGGCGGCGAGATGGGAGACGACCCAGGCGAGCGCGTCCCAGGAATCGGCGTAGGCGGCGGGGACGGGGTGCTCCGGGGCGAGGCGGTACTCGACGGAGACGACGAGGACGTTGGCGAGGCCCGCGAAGGTGTTGAAGTAGGCGTGGAAGGTGGGGTTGAAGGCGGAGCCGAGGCAGAAGCCGCCGCCGTGGTAGTAGACGAGGATGGGGAGCTTGGCGGCGCTCTCGTCGTCGAGGCGCGGGAGGTAGAGGCGCGCGGAGACGTTGGGGGAGATGACGACGTCCCTGGAGGCGACGCCCGTGGCGGCGTCCGTGGAGGCGGCGACGAACTCGGTGCCGAAGTAGCGCTCCACGCGGTTCTTGTAGACGCGGATGCAGGGCATGGACTCGTAGACGATCTCGTCGTCCGCGGACGCCGGCGGCGGGGCGACGGGTGCGGCGGCCATCGGAGATCTGGACCGAGCAGGCAAAGCAACGATACAGGGGGCAGAGGGGCACTCCCGTGTCACCTGTGGTTAGAGGGTAGCTGCTGGTACAGCAGAGTCGTTCGGTGAAGTACTAGTTGACGCTGAAATTCTAGTTGGCCTAGTATTCCGTACTTAATCTTGCAAGTTGGTATACGCCTCTCAACTGCTGATTTTATCTGCACTTTTGGTGAAATTTTCCCCTCCTCTCAACCTTTCCTTCAAGCCAAAGCATCAAATGGGAGTAGATTTTTCCGCAGGCAATCGCTGGCTGCGTAGCCTACCAGGCTACCTACAACCAGTCAACGTCATGACCTTTCCTCATCAAAACATCAAATGGGAGTAGGCCTTCATAAATCATATATATTGATATAAACTCCATCAAAATTCAGGTGCAACGAAGTTGTTGGTTATTCAGCTGCATCAGCAACACGGTAGGCCGGCAGCATTTAGAACTTGGAATTGTTCAGTCAATGCCAGTACAGCACACTGCACGCAAATACACGTACGCTCTTGCGCCAGGTCCGGTGACCGGTGACGCGCGTGCGTGCGGTTCTACTACTACTGCTAGGTTGACTAGTTCCCAGTGATGAGCGCAACCAGGCGGTCCATGAGGAGCACCGCCTTGGCGCTGTCGGGCTCGCGGAGGTGGAACTCGTGGTCCGCGGGCGCGGAGTCCAGCAGCTCGGCGTCCGCCGCGGCCCACCCGCTCGCCAGCAGGCCGTCGAAGTAGGCCTTGCCCTCGGCGACCAGCGCGTGGAAGTAGAGCACGATGGGGAGACGCCTGTCGCTGTCGCCGCCGGGGCGCGCGGATACTGGGAGGTAGAGGCGCGCCCCAGGCCCGTGCCCGGGTCAAGGGTCACGTCCTTGGAGGCGACCCCGGTGGCGGCGTCGACGGAGGGCGGGACCGGGTTGACGGGGAGCAGGCGCTCCACGCGGCCGCTCTTGTACTGCCGGATCACGGGGACGAACTCGAACGTGACCGCAGCGTCGGGATCGATGTCGACCGTGGTGGTGCGATAGGGGGGAGCCGTGGCGAGAGTATTTGAAGACGATACAAGCTTGCGTCGTAAGATTGGCACTCCCAAGAGCCGCTCCTCGCGAGAAGACGACAGCCACATGTACATACAGACAGTGAGACAGTATTGCAGTAGTAGTATACTAGTACTTGGTGAGGCGTTGAGAAGGGAGCGAGCATCGAGCAACCCGAGAAGACGATAACCTTGTGCTCCTCGCGGGATAGCATTCTAAGGAGCGGGTCCTCGACGTGACCATGCAGGCCACGCCGCCGCTCACGCGTTCAGGTCTGAGTCCGACGGGCGATCCTCCTCCCTAGTGCTTGCGGATATGGGCCATTTGGTTGCTGGGCCAAATTCTACTAGCCGGGCCGAATTCTAACACAACACAGACGTTTACTGTTAGATTGATACACTGGGTTGCTGAAAACAATGGTACACTGGGCCATAGGAATCAGGCCGGTTTTTAAGGCCCAGTCTATGTTAGAACTTCATATGGTAAAAGAAAGATACTTGTTTTCAATCGCCTAAAAAAGGGAAATTCTCTAGTCTGGGCGTCCTATCGTCGGGGCGGTCGTGTTCGTGGGCCGCGTCACCAGCCCAACGGCCCAACAGTGTCTCTAACCTTATCCCGCTGCCTCCATTATCTAGACGGAAGGATAAGGTTTCCTTCACCACACGATCGAGGCCGAGGGGCCGCAGCCCACCGCGGCAGTGCCGATATGCCATGCCCCATCCCCGACAGGGGCTGCGACGCTCTGCCCCATCCCGACGGCGGCCGTGGCACCCAGCCCCATTTCGACGGCGGTCGTGGTGGCCATTCCTCTCCCGACGACAGCGCTCCCTCTGCTTCCCCTCCGGCGGCGCTTCCTCCTCGCCTATGGATTATGTCGTGATTCCCTTCCTTCTCAATGGTGGCGGTGACAGCAAGCCGCCTCCCCTCTCCCACCAATGGTGGCGGCGGCGAGCACCCTCCCCCACGCGGATCCAAATCCAGTTCTCATGACGCCTCAAGGGGGTTGTGGCGGGGCGCAGAGTGCGGCTTTGATGCGCTCGACGGCATGGCGTCCCCTTGGCCGCTCGCTCCGTGGCACCAACGAGCTCTACACCGATGAACTTCTGATGCCAACGAGCCTCCATTTCTCCCAAGCAGCAAAAGAGATGTTCGCTGAAAGCGCATGTTTGTTTTGATGTTTCAGAGGTATGTTGCAATTGTTTCATGCGGATGTTGCAACAGCAGATCGAGATGTTGTATATGTTGCAATAGTTGTACATGTATGTTGCAAGCTTTTTTCCCTATGTTTTATTTGTTTTTCAGAGTATGTTGCAAGTGTATTTATTTAGATGTTGCAAACGTTTGACACCTATGCTGCAAGTGTTTTATATGGATGTTACGCATGTATTTGCAATGTTTTTTCAAGTGTTTTTCAAGTGCTTTTGTATGTGTTTTATAAGCATGTTTCAAGTGTTTCATCTGTCTTCAGACGTATGTTGTATCTTGATATTTCAAAAGTAGATCGGGTGTTGCATATGGGGATGCGCATGGGAAGCGGGAGGGCACAAGCGGTCCCCATGCGTAGTCTAGCGGCGCAGAAGACGTCCTAGGGCACGCTAGAGGAGACGTGTTGGCGCGAACGAGTGCGGCGTGCAGGAGACGGAGTGCAGTGCGGGCGTCCATCCAGACGTCCGTGCGCTAGCACTTCCACTAAAAACTCCAATATTACTCATTCTAAACTGAAACTAGTAAGATAGCTTCTACAAATAACACTGCGAATTAGCTTTTCTCGTTATAATATTTATTTCAATTAATTAATTAACGGAGGCGGGCGGCTAAGGGTGACCGCCTCGGTTAATATATACTAACCGAGGCGGTTGCGTTAACCCGACCACCTTGGTTAATATGTTAACCGAGGCGGGCTAACCAACTGCTTCCGTAGGTTAGGATTAGTCATGACCTTTAGACGGAGACAGATGGTTGCCGCCTCCGTTATTCCAAAACGTTGGCCTCTAAAAAAAACTGTAGTAGTGTTTGTTTCTCAAGGCACCCCATATATGAACTACTTGTTTATTAGTTATTTTTCTCTACATTTACTTGTAGAACAAACTATTAGCTTTTCATAGTTTTTATTAAAGCTTTCCTTTAGCCATTGTGTTTCACATTGAATCTGTATTTTGGCATTTTTCTTTCCATCTTGTATGGAAATCAAATTGTTATTTTTAATTTATTTAATAGTATCGGTTTCTCTTGTTTTTTTTGGAACGCTAGTATCAGTTTCTTGATAAACCGTGGGAAGAAGGAATCAAAGAAACTGCACGAGGAAAGAAAGAATCTGTACATAAGAAAATCAAGATCACACGAATAAATCATAGGCTCGTTTAGCGTATGCCAACGAATGAAACTTGCATGTAACAATTGTCAGGTTTTATAGTGTTACATGTACTCCGTTCTAAAATTTTAGGACATATTATGTGATAAAACAAATGACTTACATAACCCTGTATAACTACCTTATTTTGGATGAAGATAGATATTAATAGTAGGTGTACATGTGAATCCTTTTGTGCGTCAGATTGGGATCCGAATTCTCTTAGAAACTGAATTATAATCACTTTATGGAACTGTTTGCCTGGTGCGCTGGATTCTTGAAACTAGATCTGGAATCATGAGAAACCAGGTTTTGGTTGTTTATGTGGACTAGTATCAGTTCCAAGTGATTCTTCTCGCTCTCTCTTTGTAGCGTTTGACAATGATTCTAGTGATTCTACTGAGAATCTGAACATTTCTCGTTGCCAAATGCACTCCAAGTTATTTCATCTAGAGTTTCTTATAATTTGGGATAATTTTTGAATGCTTGATACTTTATATTTCAACACCGAGGGCTACACACAAGCAGGGTTTTCAGTTCTGATATTCAATTTTTTGTCCAACCCAATTTACCAAAATTCACAAAAAAAAAGTTTAGAGATTGTTTTTTAACTTCAACAAGAGATATGATCTTCTAAAATTTTTGTATCTAAACAAAATATTAGCATGATTTATGAAATTTATTGAGCAAAAGAATATGCAACACAAATAATAGAAAAATTGAGTCGAGTTATATCTTTGCAATAAAGCACATAAAGATTTCAGATTTTTATTTTGACCACCCCTGAGATTACCAAAAGCCACAAAAAAATTTAGGGAAATTTTGAACACTGCACAGCTGGACTAAATTAAGCTAACTCAAGGCTTATCAGTTAGCCTTGGTTTATCTCTTGTTTTGTTTAAGTTTGTCTAGTTCGGAATTTGGAAAGTGTAAACTCTAAACTGGAAAATGAACAACGTAAGTTCCCCCATGCTGCTATGATTAACCTTCGAGCTTTATCGTTTCTGCACGCTGAGCTTGGTTGCATCAAGAGAACCTAATCTCGCCGCACAGGCAACGCTGCTATCAAGAATCTCTTCCATGCCGTACTTGTACTTGAAGAGTGTGTCTAGTGCACAACGATATGTTTTATACAATTTTAATACATGAATTTTTTTGCACCATAAAGATTAAGATCCAACAATCTTCATCTTTCTTCTACCTATAGCCTTCTTCTATCTTCACACAATCACAAAATCACAGATCTATATATCATAAATTACGTATTACAGAAAATAATTTTTTTTCTATGAAAGGACAAAATACAGAGGGTTGGTTTCATTGCCTTTCCATTCGTCATTCGCCGGCGACGGTCTCTCCTATGCGCCAGCTACGGCGAGGAGGACATGACACGACACACACCGGCGTAATGGCGCTGTAAAGAAATGCAACAGAGGGACGAGCAGCAGCAGCAGCAGAGCGTGGCCAGGAGAGCGTTGAGGGCGCCGGTCGTGCCGTGGGCGGCGACGAAGCGGCCGTGGGTGGTGCGCACTGCAGATCTGACGGACGAAGATGACGTAAGGCAACGATCCGGTGGACTAAAATTCATATATTTTTATTG